GGATTTCCAGGCTAGCAATCAGCTAGGAGTTCATATTGTTTTCAGGCAGCCCGACAGGGCTGAGAGTTTTTTTTGCTAGCAGCGTGGTTTAGAGAACCACCCCCTTCAAAGTTTTAACTTTGGAAAGTGTTTAGCCTTGGATGGGACGCTGGACCCCGTTTCCAGCAGTTGGTATACGTTAAGCAGTTGATTGGTTCTCGTAAGCTAAACTGGTTGAGGCTGCCAGGATAACTCTGGGTCGAATTGTGAGGTCCCCGGCCTCGTCCCATTACTTTTGCAATATATATAAAAGCTTTCACAAAAAAAAAAAAAAAAAAAAAAAAAAAAAAAACACCATCCTTTTCCCCGGCTTAATTTTTTTTTTTGGAAAGCTTCAAATTTTACTCGAAGAAAATTGGGGCGAGGCCGGGGACCTCACAATTCAACCCGGAGTTATCCTGGCAGCCTCAGCCAGTTTCGTACGAGCATAGCTCGACCGTTTCCCCATTACTCCGGAACCTTTTTGCTTATTACTGGAAACCGGGTCCAGCGTCCCCTGCTACCTCCAAAGACTTAAACTTTCCAAAAATTAGACCATGAAGCGCTTAGTAAAAAAGGCCCAGCATTCTGCCGGCCATCATTGCTTATCCCTAGGCGTATTTCACAATCCTGACCTTGAACCTCTGTAGAGGTGCCACCAAGTGCCCAAAGTAGCAGTCTAACTTTGGTGGCAAGAGGGGTGACTCACCAGAAAAAACAGCTTTTGAGATCAGGTACCCCACGTGCCACTGCGTCTTTCTGTGTGATTACTTTGATCCCATTTGGGCCTATTACCGGCCCTACCTAGTCATGTGTATCTGATAGCCATGGACAAATGGTCATTCGACCCTCTTGATCTATTGAGGCCATTCTGTTTCCCACTGCCCACGTTTTCTGAAACCAAACGAAGTTTCTCCGCTGCCAGTCAGCTTGTATAATCCTTCTGATCGACTGCTTGATCTGTCTTTGTTGTTGAGCTCTTGGTATCTCTTCGTCCTTAAAGACTCTTGCGTTTCAGGCCGCCCAGACTGTTTCCATCATCACTCCTCTACAGCAAAGTGCGACATAGCCCCATCCTGCAGAGWRGTTTTCCTYTGTAGCCAACATTCCGGAAAGCATCCAGTCATCAGACCAGTCCCATTTTTTCCCTGTGATCCTATCCCAGTGTATCTTCCACCATCCCAGCAGTTCATCCACCAATGGGCACAGCAGCCAGAGGTGTTTCATATTCTCCCAACCCCAATTACACCACAAGCATTGTGTTGACAGCTCCATTCCCTTATCAGCCAACCATGTTGCTGTTGGGATGGCCATCAGGGACTGAAGCCACATTATGCTTGCCTGTTTCTGGACTGGGAGCCTGGTAAGAGCGTTCCAAAGTTGATGGAATCCTTGTTTGGAGGTTCCTTTAATCTGTTGAGCATTTGCACGAGTTACCGCCATGTCCCCTGCCTTTTTCTTCACCTGCCCCTGCAGTAACTGTACTCCGACTTTCGGCCGGAACTCAAAGTAGTGGAATATGGTTCCCCCCATTGTCTTGTCCTTTCCATCCAATTAGTAAGGGTTCCACCTTGGACTGGTCCGCGTCACCAATCAGTGATGCCATAGACTTCCCGTTCTTATTCTTTAGGCAATGAACTCTTACTTCTACCATTCCTTCCGAATCTCCGATCCTGCAGTCCTGGTCCACCAGCAGCATCTTCTTATTGGCAGTTCCCTGGACTTTCCACCGTTCCGCCCTGATCCCGGTAGTGAGGTCCGGTCCAAGGATCCGCACAATTCGGTCTGATGTGTTGCCCTCGCGAAGCCACGTTCCTGCTGCATGCTCTGCTTCTGGGTGTAGTAAACTCACCCAGTGAGTAGGGATGGCAGCTACCAGCTCCACAAAATGTCTGTAGACATTTCGGAGTCCCGGCAGTCTGTTTCTTAGTTGAGATGGATCCAGGAATCCGCCTTGTTCCACGCTCCAAATGTCTTTTACCTGTAGTATCCCTTTCTTTATCCAGCTCAGTCCAAAGTTGTCTCTTGTATCTGTGGCCCCAAAACAGGAACCGTCCACCTATCGGATCGCCGGGTTTTCAAATAAAACCTGGTTTAATATCTCCTTTTTCGAGGTGGGGGGCTGTGCTTCTGAAGGCCGGACTTTGTTCCAGGCTCCAATGATATTCTTCCAAATTTTGGACTTGGGGCGGCGGCTGCAAAATGATGGGAGCAGCATGCAGATCCATATCTTGGAATGATCTTGCAATTCCCATTCTGTTCCCAGTATGTATTCTGCCAACTGCATCCATATCTTGGGTTCTGCCGCTGTCATTGCTTGTGCGGGCCATTTAGCCAATAGAGCTACGTTCTGCTGCAGAAGGTCTAGTATTCCTAGGCCTCCCTTTCTCCTTGGTGTTGCAACGGCTTCCCAAGCGACTTTTGAAATAAAGCCCTGGTCTTCCTCAGCATTGGGTTTCCGCAGGTACCTCGTTGATGCCCGCCTTATCTACCTGTATGTTGCGATCCCCAAGGCATGTATGGTCAGTGGGAACCAGAGTAACGAAAAAGCTGATGCTGATAGGACCAGCGCCCTTCCCATGAGGGACAGGTGGGTACGGCGCTCCCAACCAGCTATGCGAGCCACCACCTTATCTACCAGCAGATTGTCTTGAACTGTCGTACAGTTTGAGAAAGATACCTGTAGGCCCAAAAATCTTTCCGATGAGTTAGCCGGGACTCTTTTCAAGCCCCAATCCACACAGACCTCGCTTGTGGGGGGACTTGTCCCAGTTTATAGAGGCTTCTAACAACATGCAGTCCCCGGCTTATTCACAAACACAGGCTTCGGCTGATTTCCTGCCAAATCCACGATGCCAGACGGTCACACATCGGTAGTGGGATCTCTCTTCGGGGGCCAGGTCCCACTGGCGGCGTTGAATTTCCTCAATGCCCGAATCTGGAAGTGTTCGTGGAGATGTGCGGTTGAGAAAACTCAAGGCGATTTCTGCACATATCCACAGACACGTTTAGATTCAGGCGTTGAGGAAACTCAACGTTGCTAGTGGGACCTGGCCCGGATCTGGTACTGGCAAGGGGGACAGACTGTACTGTAGACAATCAGCAGAGCAAGATAAAAAGCATGATCGCTACGGTCTTCCCTGGAACACAACGCATCCTTATTTTCGCTGTATCAGGCCGGAAATATAGCTTGTATACATACATTTTTAGGGTGCGTTATGTTCGGGGGAAGACGGTAGTCAATACAAAATCCTCTTCGTACTGTACAAATACAAAATAACTCTCTTGCCCTCCCCCTCCTTGGCCCCCCTTCCCCCCACCACCAAACACAAAAAATAACAAATAAATAAGGGTTTGGCCCCACCACTATCCAGACGGCGAAGCACGAGTGCATCTTACCGCTTTCTGAGGAAGATGCATTTTTTTTATCTCTGCTCTTTTCCACAGTGGTGTGGTGAGGCCCTAAGGCTTGGATCCCACTGGCCGGCGGCGTGGAAGTGATTTTCCATTTCCATGTTTACAGGACCCCACTAGACCGCCAGGAAGGTGCGCCAATGCGAATTTGGGACCCCACTGCCAGTGCCGGACTGTCGTGGAAAACCGTCGGGAGCGTTTCCACATGGCCGGCAGCTGGAAAAAATTGTCAGACCGTCCGGCGACTGTTTTCCAAAACCGAAGTTTTTTTAGACGGGGGGGGGCACCCCCAAAGATGTCGTACCAGGGCACGGGCGGCCTGGTCCGGTGCACGATGGAGTGGACCGTCTCTTAAAACCACGGACATCAGTGGTGCATCGCACCATTCGGGTGTGGGACCGTTCCGTTGTGCGGGGACTTAAGGTCCCGTGTGCCAAATTTGCAACGGGCACAAAATTCGAAATGGGTTGGGCTGTGGGAGCGGGGCGTTCCGCTGGGTGTTGTCGCCCGCTTCGCATGGGTTGGCGGGAAATTCAAATTTGCGGAGTGCGCACGTCGACCACCCATGCAGTGCTGGGGCATGTGTAGTGCGGGCCGGCCGTCATCGACCGTTAACAATGTCGGCGGTTCTTCGTGCAGCGAGGAGCGGCCGTGAGGCGTGTGTGCATGGTTGGAGGCAGTTGTCTGAAGGGGGTGCTGTGGGATGTTGTCGTCGTCGTTATGTCCACGGCACGGGTGGAAGTTGGGCGCGTGCATGTCCAGTACCATCACGGAGGCAAGGGCTTCTCGCCACACGAGTGTGCAGTGTGCAATCCTATCTGGTGGTTCGGCCTTTGTCGTCTTTCGCTGGAGGGGTTGCTCCTTCCACGCTTGTCAGGGATCGCAACGGCTGTTGCTCGTACTTCAAACCAACCTCCGCATGGTCGATCTTCGCACAATCGCTCTGGCATGACGGAGAGAGTCGTTGAGGACGGTGTGAATGCACGTGAATACGTGCATGGCCCGTTGCTGTTCAGTGGCGAAGTGGGAGTGCGTGATCTTCGAACACGGTCGACGGTCGATCATCATCAATGCTGCTACTGCCGTCCTGTTTATATCTTCGTAACGAACGGAGTGGACGACAGCGGCCGGCTGTGTTATCGTGCCTTGGCTGCAGCGGTGTTGTTGGCTGTGATTTTGTGTGGAGTGGTACTGTTGTTGGCCGTGTTCACGTTGTGTGCGTAGCAACACATTGTTGCGCGAACAGGTGTTGCAAGGGCCTGACACTCTTTGGGGTGGGGGAAAGATCGGATCTTTCGCACGTCTTGCGTCGTGATGGATTCGTCGAGGTGGAGGGCAGATCCGAATGCCGGTGGGGAAGGCGGTTTTCAGGTGGCAGATCCTAGACAGCATGCAGGTGTCGCATATGCAAGGGCAGGCCATGGGAGTTCCTTCGGGACCCGGGATGTCGATGCCACGCATGCAGTCCATGATTGCACGTCCGCGATTGCTTTTGTGCCCTGCACCATAGTCGATGCCAGCTGGGGCAGGGTACGTCGCTAACGCTTCGTTCAGCGCGCAGCTTGCTGGCGGGTATGCACCGTCGGGTGTGCAATCCATGCCCGCCGGAACGGCGTTTGGCTTTTCCGATCAGGTCTTCCCTGCATCTCAGGCCATGGATGGTGGGTATGGCTGCGTAGCGGAGCCGCCATGGACGGCTCCGTGTGGGCAAAGCAGTCGGCGGACGTTGGGGCAAATCACCCACCCGACATTTGGGGGCAGTTCCATCCCTTCCCCCTCGTCATGCAGATGCACTTCGAGCGATCAGTCGGCGACATGATAGACGTCGACAGCGATGAGAACGGTGAACTGCCGGCGGATACAACCGATTGGACGCCTGGAGGAGTTGGCGATGGTGAGGGCACATGGCATGATGACACGGGCGGGTCCAGTCACGGGGCAGATAAAGGAGACGACGACGACGACACTTCCACGCAGCCAGGGGAGATGAACGATGAAGATGGTGGTCGTCGTGTGGAGGAGGGGGGGGTTCAAGGGCGTCCAGGCGAGGATGTGAATGCGGCGAAGGGTAATCAGCAGAAGCGTCGTGGTGGGCGGCCTCCGACCACCAACCCGAAACCGAAGGTGTCGTGGACGTTAGACGAGAGGATCCATCTCGCGAGGATGATGCAAGAGGACGACGCCCTCATGGCGGACGCCAACGGCCAACACCGCATGATTCCGATGAAGGATCGGTGCGCATGGGTCGTCGCACGGATGAGGGATGCCGGGTACATGCACAGGACAGCGGAGAATTGCCGGAAGAAGTGGACGAACATGATGACAACGGCGAAGTTCATCCTCGACAAGCAACAGAAGAAGTCGGGGGAGCCATCGTATTTTGACATAACAATTGAGGAGCGAAGAGAGAAGAAACTACCGCTGTCTTTCGAGAAGGCGTTGTGGGACGCGATGACGTGGAAACTTGATCGACCATCCATCCAGTGCGACAACACCATGGCATCGGAGTCGCTCCCGGGGAAACGACAGGAGCCATCACCGACGGTCGGATCCGACGCAACGGGGATGGAAGAGTCGGACAACTCAAACAAGGCACGCCGAACAGGGACCGGCAAGGCGAGGGTGCATGAAGGCGGATCAGGCGGATCGTCCTTAGGCAAAGTAATGGAAGACTCAACGAGATCGTATTGTCAGGGCCTTGACAATGAGGCGTCAGCCCTAGCGAGAGCGACAATAGGAGCAGGCACGGCAATTGCAGCAAGAATAGGTGATGTGGGCGATGCAATGAGAGGGGGAAATTCTATGTTGGAACTATTGGTGGGGGTACTTGCCCGACCAGGGGGGAGGGGGGGGCGAGCAGCTTCAGCGGCGGGGACACAGACCCGTCATCCCGATGATATATATACAACAGAAAAATTCCCATGAGAAATGAAAGTTGAAAAAACATTAAAAAAAAATCCTTCATATTTATAAATTATCATTCCAATGTTTGTCCAATTCTAAAATTTCCAATTTAATTTGATAAGTTCCCGTCTAAATATGAGTTTTTTGTTCCAACAACATCTGTTTGTTCAACATGGAATGAAAGTCTGGACGATTTTATGAAATGTTTTAATTAGACTTTCATTCTATTACAACAAATATCGTCTAATTTAGATTGGATTAACCTATTTATGACTGAAAATCCTTACTTAGAATGATAGTCCAATTAAAATATTTCATGAACTCATCCAGACTTTCGTCCCATCTCTAGCATGCAGTTCAAATAAGAAGGGATACCCCATTCTTTGGAGTAAATTTTTCAAGTAAGACGGAAAATTTTAAAATTGGAATTACATTTTTTAAGATGAAATGAAAATTTGAAATTTTGAATGTAATTTTACTCTAGAATGATTATTTAATTCTGGGAATTTTTTTTGTTGATATATATATATATATATGTATAAATATATATATCGTCAAATAGAACTGCCCGGTACACCGTAGGCAGAGAGGGAGAAGAGGACAACAAACGAGGGGCTGTGACAAACTGTTTCGTCGGAGTTTCACCGACTCATATGAATCAGTATGTGCACCGGTCATCGGGTGGAATCGATGTGGGCACCTGGTTTTCGGGAGGGGTTGTCCACTGCCACACACACTCACAAACACTGCTGGGGAGATCATGAAGCCAGGGCGGGGTGATGTATATAACATCTCACGGGAAACCGGGGAGCACCTGTGCTGGAACGCGATCGCATGATGTCGGCGAAACCGTTCGGTGTGTGCACAGTTCTGCGGTCGTCTTCATGATCTCGGCGAAACCGTTTGGTGTCCAGCAGTTCAGTGTGTGCTGCAGGAGAGAGAGAGAGAGAGAGAGAGAGAGAGAGAGAGAGAGAGAATGACTCCCGTTGTTGTAGTGTGGAAGTGGGTCTGTGGCCGCGACGTGATCATCGCGGAGCTCCCAGACAAACGCAACGAGCGTCACGGGCGTGACATGGTTTTCTACAATGCTGTTACACGTCACGACACCCGTGTGTATGAAGTGCGCGTGAACGATGTCCATGCGATGAACATCACGGCTGGATTGGGGTTTGACAGGGATGGCGCTTTGAGCCACGTCCTCCTGTTCGTGACAAAGAGGCATGAGGTGGTGCCAAACAGATGGGAAGGTCCCCACCGGGACGCGGTGGGGGACACCACCAAGTACCTTGTATCCGTCATCGCCGAAGAGTTTGAGAACCGCATGGACGACACGCCTTGGTACGACACCATCTTCGACCCCCCTCTGGAGGGCAGGGGGTACTTGCACGGCCTGGTGGACACATGGGTGCATGAGGATGACCTTCGTGTCCGTAAATGGTGATCGCCATGGGTGTAAACCGCCGGTGATGTGTGTCGATGTGAGTGAGGTGGCGACATTCGGTCGATGGGTTTATTTTCGTTGTCGTTGGGGGCGTTCCATGTGTTGCGGTTCCGGGATAGGTTTAACAGTCGATGTTTCGCCGTAATGTTCGGGAGAGAAGGTTCGAGGCACAATGATTGTGGAGTGCCTGTTTCGATGTAGTGCCCCAGCAAAGGGGCAGATAGGATGATTTCGTCTGCAGCGGTGTTGTGACATGTCTGCAGCGGTGCTGTTCGCGACGATAACGATGATGACGAGTTATATGACGGCGACGATGATGATGATGACGAGTTATATGACGGCGGCCATTAACATGATGATGATGACATGTCTGCAGCGGTGTTGTTGGCGGTGATTCTGTGTGGATTGCATGTTTTTGTCTTTGGGGAACGTGTCATGTAAGTAGTGGGATCCATCGGGCAAGACCGTGGCAAAACGAACCGCCGGTGGTGATGTCGCCGGTGGTTGGGACGTGGGAGATGATGGTGTCGACGACGATGATGATGACGAGTTATATGACAGCGGCGATGATGATGATGATGACGATACTTCGTCATCACCATCATCATCGCAGCCATCATCGAACTCGTCTTCATCATCTTCGTCGACACAATCATCATCGACGTCCCAACCATCGTCGACATCATCATCGACGCTTCATTCTCGTATGGAGTCCATGGACAGCGTCCGTGCAGAGTGTGCATCGCAATCGGGACAGTGACATGCAAGTTCTCGTCAATGTCAATTGCTATGGCGGAGGTTGTTTTAATGAGTGCAACACATGTGCCACTTTTATGAATGCGGTCCTTTAACATTGATTTGAATTTCGAATGTTGTCTCTCATCTCATCTCCGTTTGGGTATATGTTGTCCATTTCATTTCATTTTCTGTTCTTGAGCGTTCCTTGTGTCGCAACATTTGACAGGGGGGTCATGAAGGTGAAATTGACTTTCTTTTTTTTTTGTGCGTGGTTGGAGCCAATTTTGTGCATGGGTGTACACACAAACTCGTATTATATGTTTTCTTTATTGAACATGTATATATCGTCACAAACAGAACTGCCCGGTAAACCGTAGGCAGAGAGAGAGAAAAGGACAACAAACGAGGGGCTGTGACAAACTATTTCGTCGGAGTTTCACCGACTCATCCTGTATATATGTATATATATACATATATACATATATAGATAGATAGATAGATAGATAGATAGATAGATAGATAGAGAGAGAGAGAGAGAGAGAGAGAGAGAGCCTGAGAGAGAGAGAGAGAACGTGGAAATGTTTTTGTCCATCACTAAATTTGACTGCAACAATGACAATCTCGCACACAAAACAGGAACCCTATGAACCACCAATCTGACCCGACCCCGGACCCGCTCCTGCTGCCACTCCCTGCCGCTATCCCTAAATCCTACGTGGCATGTTGTCCACGTCGTCAACTATCGCCACGGACATGGCGGCGGCACACCATGGACCGCCACGTGGTGGTCCACATGCTCGATGAGACTCCTGCGAACCAACTCCCCTAGCGCGGACCCGTTTGTTGGGTCATCGTCCACCACGGGCTCGATGTTGAGGTCGGGCATGTGACGAACGAAACAAGGACGATCTCTCCGCCGACGACGGCGTCTGCGATGACTGTAGTCACCATCGCTGTTGCTGCTACTATGGAGCACAGCAGGGTCAAATTCCACCCTGTGCTCGATCATCAGGTTGTGGAGGATGCAGATTGCCATCACTTCCTTGCAAATGGTTTTCATGTTGCTGATGTGCGGTCGGATGAAATTCCTCCACACGGAAGCAGCGCTCGATGCAAGACCGCACCGCCGAGTGACTGTTGTCGTAGGTTCGTTCCTGAGCTGTTGTGGCCGTCCTCCCGACAGGTGTCATGATCCATGGCAGGAGAGGGTAACCTTGATCACCAAGCACATACCGTCCCACGTGTCTGCCATCGTGCAGGTGTGCACCTCCCTCGCTGAAGACACCTGCCCCTTGTGAGACCTGACGGAACAGTTCCGAAATGCGCAAAACTCTCGAGTCATGCACAGACCCTGGGCACCCCACGTAAACACTAGTGATTCTGCACTCGTGGTCACAAACTACCAGACAATGGACAGAGAATTGTCCTGTGTGATGGTAGTAGCATTCCCCGCGCATACCCTTCGGTTTGTCGATGTACAAATGGGTGCCATCAATTGCACCGATGCAACCGGTGAACCCTTTCGCCTCGAAAGTGTTCTCCACCTCCTGCATTCGACAGCCCGTCGGCCACCGAAGGAGATGGCCATACTCGCTGATGATAGCATCTGCGACCTCTTCGTTGCTACGCAAGGCACTCGCAAGGCCCATGCCCATGCCATGCGAGGTCTGCCGGTAATACCCGCCGGTCGCCCACCTAATGAGAGCCATAGCGAACTTCTGACCAGCAGGAATAGGATTCCTGAAGTTCGTTGGGGCTCGCTGGATATGGGGTGCAATTCTACCCAGCACTTCGAAGAATAGCGGGCGAGGCAGTCTGCAGAATCGTACAAACACCTTGTCGTGTTCACGGCCAACTCGCTGCAAATCCCTCCACACACCCCCGCTTCGTTCCACGACCCATATCCGTCGTCGCCGCTCCATGTGTCTTCCCAACTCCTCCGCAGCCAAACTGGCGAGAGCGAATCCGTGCATCACCCCGCCTGCAAGGAGCGGCAACGACGTCGCCGCGTCCCCGAACAGGAACGGGGTGAATGCGACAGCCTCGAGGACGGCCATGGCCGCCGCATTGCGCCTGTGCACCCACTGGGCTATGGCGAAAACCAAGAAGAAGAGCATGTCTTCCCGCTCCTGTGAAGAACTTCCAGATGGAACCGGACTGTCCATCTCCTCTATTACCTGCAGTTTGCAAACCACCACACGACGGGCCGCCACACGCCTCCCACACAAGCACACCTCTCCCCCACGGATATGGAGCGAATGGACGCAGTTCCCGACTGCCCTCTGAAGCGGTCAAATCACCACGGCGCTCTCGGCGATGCAGGTGTCACTTCCGAATAACGGACCGCATTTCATCGAAAACGAATTTGAAAACACCGTCGGGAGCCTGCTCAACGGCTGCTTTCACACTCAGGGCACCGTGTACCAGCAGGGGACAGTGCCACACAGTTCCACGACATGTCGGTTGCGGTGCGACCACAGCGTCCCGCACTTCTGCCGCTGGTCCCAGGAGCTGGACCACTTGGTTCAGCACACTTTCCATTTCGGGAGGCGACCCGCCCATATTTCCTTTTCGGGAATGGAAGTCATTTTCCAAGAGGCCGGTCTTGGCCGTGGGGTCTCGACTTTTTCTGGAAATGGTTTTGCGTTGGCCGTTTTTCGTGGCCGAACAAGTTTTCCAACCGCCCAGCAGTGGGGTCCAAGCCTAAGACGTGCAAGGATCGGCAAACTTCACTAACGGCGGCAATGGTAGCAGTCCGCCGAATATGCTACCGGCCGCATGCTCTCAAGCTTGGACTTGTCTATTGGTGTTTGGACCTAATCGTACTCAAATTCATTCACAATTGCCCGCATTTCGGTCAAATG